TTAATAAAAAATAGTGATTTTAAAAAATAATATTTTGAAAATTTAATTTTTTCTGCCACAAATATCAAAATTCGAACACTACAAATTATTAAATTATTTATTATTAATTAATTAATTATTTACTTATTATTAATTAAATAAATAGTTATAATTAAAAGTAAATAAATAATTAAAATTAAAAAAAATAACTCAATCTAAAATTAAATAAAAATTTGAAATAAGAGGAAAAAAAACGAAACGAATTCAAAAAAATGGAATCCAAATCAAATCCAAACCAAATTTTGAACCAAAAAAAAAAAAAAATACAAAAGACAGGACAAATTACCAAATTTTTTTATTTTATCCCAATGAAAAATTAAATTGAAGAAAAAAATCAGAAATACTAAAAAAATATAAAAAAAAAACCTACTATTTATTGTTGAAAATACGAAAAAGGATCAAACCAAACTTTGATCCAATATAAAAAAAATTACAACAGGAGAAAATTTTTCATTTAATCCTAATCAAAAATTAAATTCAAAAAAATCAGAAATACAAAATATCCTCCAAAAAACATACCAAATATTAAAAATACCCATTTTTTTTTCCTACTTTAAAAAAGTCAAAAAAAAAAAAAAAAAATCTCTTTCATTGACAATTAAAATAAAATGTTGACATTATTTTGCTTTATTGCAAATGAAGAATAAGATGAAAAGAGAAAAACAAAAAAAACAAAAAATTAAAGGAAGCAATTAAAGAAAAATAAGGGGGAAAAAAAGTAAATGAAACGTGCTTCAAAAGAGAAAGAGAAAAATGACTTGATTAGTGAACGAGGTTGAAAAATTCACCAATTTTCGAGGAATTTTCAAAGGTATTAAAAAGCGGCAAGTACAAAGGGAACGACAAAATAATTAAAGAGCATGAGGTTTTCAAGCATTTGCTCTCGCACACATACATAAAAGAAACATATACAAGGGAAAGAAATGTTTTCTTAAGGAGTTAATCCTCTTCAAACGGTTAACGCCTTTTATGCTAACTGCCGCCTGTATCTAACAAACTCACGAGGGTCCAATAATGAAATCCCATTCGTGGTCTCTCTCTCTCTCTCTCTCTCTCCTCAACCCTCGAAAGCATCCCCTTCAATTAAAGGGTAGTGATAGAGGTGCTCCATTACCTTGAAAAAATCAACCCCCTTCTGTTTGCAAGGGTTGAAAAAAAAAAAAAAAAAAAAAAAAATAACAGGAAGAAAAAAAAGAGAAAATAGAGAGCGTAATGCACGCGATTCTTTCGCAATCGTCGTCGCGCATACCGGCGGAAACCTTTGATCGTTGTAAAACGTAAATTCTTACAACGTGACTCGAAAATCTCTTTCTCTCTCTCTCTCTTTCTTGATTCACCGCTATATACTACTTATGAGAGTATAGAATATCGTCTGCAGTAAACTTTATTTATTTTTTTTTTTTTATTATTTCATCTCGTTATTTCCGTCTTTTATTCTCTAAGGGTTATAAAACGTCCGGAGATTTACAACCACATAGAAATATCTTCATATCGATAAAGATTTTGTCGTCAAATATTAATGGAATGTTAAGAGGGAAACAATAATGTGAGATTTTTTTAAAAAAAAGTGACAATTTTTGTGGACCACCCACTCAAAAAAAAAAAAACGACTCTGGTGGTCCAAAGATGTCTAGAATTTCAAAAAGCACCCTTTTCGAAATACTTTCCAATTTTTTCCTGATTTTTTTTTTCTTATCAAATTATTTTCAGGGAGAAATTATCTTATTTTTCGAAATTTTATTCCAATTTTCATTTAATATTTTACTCTCAAATTATTTCCCGGAAAAATCAAAAAACAAAATAAATAAAATGATAATTTGGTACAGAATTTTTTTTTTTTTTTGAAATGTAAAAAATCGAAATAATAAATTTGGAAGTTTTTAAAAATCTATTCGCCCTGACGAAGCATATGGGCAAAGATTAAATTGAACTAACGAGGGGAATTATATTTTTCTAGTCAAAAAAAGGAAGTGCGATAAGATTCATTTGTCATGTCTAGCCTCTAGCGATCTCGAGTGTGTTTATTCAGGACCAAGTCCTGTCGCGTTCAGTTCCTTTTTTCTCTCTCCCTACTTTTTTTTTTTTTTTTTTTGCTTTTAATCTTTCCCGACAAACTAATCTCGTTAGCAAACAGTTGGAGGTGAATTCTCTCTTTTTTTTTATTTTTTTAAATGTTTTATTAGAGGATCCGAGAAGAAGTTAGCTACCTGGTAACGCAGAGTTTTGGAATTAATTGAATGGGACGATTCTTAGATCCCATTCATGAAGTCGATGCCTGGTTTAAAGTTAGTACAACCGGTGGTCGTTTTGGAAGGGATAAAATAGAAGAGAAGAAGAAGAATAAGAAGAGAAGAAAGATACAAGTTAAAACGCCAGGGAAACTATAGTGGTTAATATTTGAATTTTTATTTATATTTTATTTTTTTGTAAAATATAAATTTACAATAGAAGAATAAAAAAAAAAAGACTAAAATTAACTCAAAAATATTTTTTTTCAAAATTTCCTACTTTAAGAAATTTCTAACTTTTCCTTCAATTATTTGAAAAGAGATTTATAAGAATCGTTTTTTTTTTATTATTATTGACACGACAACGAACTTTTATTTACGACAGTGAAATAAATCTATCAAGATTTTTAATTCTTCAAAACTCCTGTTAAAATTTCTAAAGAGTCCTAATTTTCTTTGATATATTTGCGCTTGTACCTAACTACCGGACTGAAATAATATTTTCGGCAAACATGACTTTTTCTTTTTTGGGGAAAATTATACTCTTGGCAAATTGTTATTTAGTACCTTTTCAAAAAAAAAAAAAAAAAAAAAAAAATGCCTTTTAACTTTTCTTTTTTTTGAAAGAGTAGAGTAAATAAAACGAGATAAAATTCTATTTGAAATTGAAAAAAAGAATTTAAATTTAGAAAAAAAATAATTATAAATAAGTAAATAAATAAATTCAAATTGATAAGAAAAAATTAAACATTAATGTAAATTCTGGATCAGTAATTGAAGATTAATTATTGAAATGAAAATAATTTCATGGAATAAATATCGAAAATTGCAATTAAAATCAAAAGAGAAAAAAAATTCAATATTTATAAATCATTAGAGAAATTTGTACAAAATTTGAAATAATCCAAAAATTTAATTAAAGAAGTAGAAACAAAAATTTAAAAAATCAAAATTAAGAAGTAGAATCAGTATAAAACGAAATTTAAATTTGAAATTAAGAAAAAATCAAAATAAAAATTAATAAAAATCAAAAAAACAGAAGAAAAGAGCATCAAATAAAATAAAAATCAAAATTAAAACCAAGAGAGAAAAAAATCAATATTTATAAATCATTAGAGAAATTTTTATAAATTTGAAATAATCCAAAAATTTAATTAAAGAAGTAGAAACAAAAATTAAGAAGTAGAATCAGTAGAAAACGAAATTTAAATTTGAAATTAACAAAAAATCAAAATAAAAAAAAGAGAAACAAAATAAAAAAAATAAAAATTAATAAAATTAAAAAAAAAAACAGAAGAAAAGAGCATCAAATAAAATCAAAATCAAGAGAAAAAATTTAAAAATCAATAGAAGAATCTTCAAAAAATTTGAAATAATCCAAAAATCAAAATAAAAACGAAAATTTTGAACTAGAATCAAAAGAAAAAAACAAAAATAAAATTGCCAATTAAAAGAAAAGTAGAAACATAAAATTGAAAAAATTTAACGAAATAAAAAATGAGTTTGCAATCGTTCATTCCCGCAGATCAATCGGGAACATATATATCGACGAAGAGGCAAAAGAAAATATGGTCACGAAGAAAAACAAGCATCCGGTATCAAGAGCTGATTAAGATTCGAAAGCGAAGTTTAAACTCTCAACGTCTATAACAGAGAAAGAGAGAGAGAGAGAAAGAGAGAGATACTGTAGTGTGTATATGCGCGCCGAGTATAATTTGGAAGGTATTTGCTCGGAAGATCAAAGGCAATCGTATAGTAGTGGCCTAGTCACGTTCTCTTGATCTACTCGTTTATAATAGAGCCCGATTTCTTCGCCTCTGGCAAAGGCCTCTCTTGCAAGAGAGAACAAGAATCTAAGCGCTATATATATATAAGTAGCAAAGGCCCCGCAACAGTTGATGCTATCAGCATCCATATAGCGTTCAGACAGAGAAAGAAATACTTTGAAAACCAGGGTAAATCATTTCCTGTGAGAAGAAACTAGTTAAGAAACGCGTAAGATTAGTTAATCCTCTCGAGGGATTTAACTCTATAAGAGAGAGAGAGAGAAGAGAAAACTGGATCATCTTCAAAAACTTCGAAACTAGAATAACGTTTAATCAGATCGAAAACAACAACGCATCATTAGGATTAAAAAAAAAACATTAAGCAAGACTAAAAAAATCTTTCTTTTTTTTTAGATTAAAAAAAAATCTTTTTTTCTATTATAAAACAATAATAAAACTTCCTTTATTATTATTAATAATAATAATAATAATATTAGTATTCGTTTGATAATAAATAAATAAAACAAAAAATATATAATAAAATTGCTAATAAAAAAAAAAATAGAAAAATTATAGATTTTTCTAATTAGAAATTTTTTTGATCTAGAGGGACAACGTCATTTAAAAAAGAATCATTAAATTTCAATCATCAGCTACTAAAAGAAACATCATTAGCTAGAGAAATTAGTATGGAAAACGAGAAAATCATCAGCTGTAATATTGCATCAGTCAAAAATAGGAAATCATTAGAAAAATCCAAGGAATAATCTAAAAAAAAGATGAAACAAAACCTAATAAACAAAAATTATTGAAACTAAAAAAAACAATCTAAATGAGAACCAACATAAAAGAAAAAAAAAAAAATGCAAATTATCAAGATGAACCAAGAGCCGACGGAGTAATAAGATAGCATCTCGAAAAAAAAATAAAAAAAGAAAGAAAAGGGCAAAGATGATGGGAATATTACCAGAAAAGGACTTGTAGTTTGTGAACAACTTTGTCCGGCACCATCTCACAAGTCCGGTAGCCATGGGATCCACATGCGTGCTTCAATAGACACTTAAAAAAAAAAAACAACAATTTTTCCTTATTATTGTTTTTCACTTTGTCGGCGATTGTTGCTCCAATTTTCAACGATTATTCACAATTACTTTCACAATATTTTCTTCTTTTTTAAACTAATTTTTTTAACTCCCTTTTTTCTTCTTTTTAATTTCCTTTTTTAAAAACTCTCCTTTTATCTTATATCTTCCGGTTTTTATAGCTCTTTTTCCTCTTCCTTTTCCCTTTGATCTTTCTAACTTATTTAACTAGAACCTTTCTCTTTTAGGCCTCCAAATGTTTTTTCTCTCTCTTTTTGAATTCCACTTGTTTTTTTTTTTTTTTTTTTCTAACGTTGTTTGGTAGTCGTCACTTCACTTGGATCATCAACACCACTCACACCTCAGTTGGAAAACACTCACTTTTAGAAAGAGAGAGAATAAGAGGCAGGATGAAAATAAATATCCTTGGCACGTAGATGCAATATTGGAATTCAAATATTTCCAGCACGTGGGTTTTATTTTCATTCAATATTGGAAGTAAAAAAAAAAAAAAAAAAATTAACTTCGTCGAACTAAACTTCCGGATCACTTTTTCTAAATTTGTTTTTGTTAACAATTTATTAATCTCAGAAATGAAAAGATATTTCTCTCATTTTTTGATGGCGAGAGACGAATATGAGAGATGTTACTACAACTACAGTCGTTGTTTGACTACACGGCGATCGTCCTCGCGTGAACCACGTTCCCCGTAATTCCTCCTCTCTCTCGACGACTACGACGACGACGACGACGGGGCTTTCTCCCCTCTTTCTCTCTTTCTCTCACTACTCCTCAGGGACGTAGGGAGGTCATTTGGAGCCCTATTTTCAATAGGGCTCAACAACAAACAGTCTCATTCTCTTCTTGAGGAAGCACCATAAGTTTTGCCGCCACCTTCTATCCTCCTTCTCTTTCTTCTTTAAAAAGACTTAAACCATTTGAAGTGACAGAATATTTCACACGTTGATAAGAGAGAAGAAGCCATTCATAAAAGCCGATCGTGAAAAACTTGCAAGGAATCTTTTGCAAAAATAATAATAATAAGAAACTGATACGGATTGCATTACCCATTATTCGGATTAATTTCCAAAATAATAAAAACCTGCGAAAAAAAAACAGAAATCAGAAAAATGTTTCAATTTTTTAATAATAAAATGGAAAACAAAAATTCGTTTTGCAAAATAAATTATGAGCCAAAAGTTTTGAACGTTCAAATGAACAAAATATTTTTTGCAATCTATAAATTAGTAGAAATTATAATGTCAATGTAAAATAAAACAGTAAATTAAACAAATATTAAATTAATAACTTCTTTTTAGATATTTAAAACAATATTTTGTAATAAAATTCGTACTTAAAGAAGTTACAAAAAAAAAAAATTTTTTCATTTGAACGTTCAAAACTTTTGGCTCATGATAAATTAATTCAAAATTGATTTATTCAAGTATTAAAAAAAAAAATTAATTAAATTAGTAATTAAAAGTTTTTAAACAAATAAAAAAATTATCTAAATTATTAAATGAAAAACAAAAATTCATTTTGGAGAAAAAATAAATAAATTAATTCAAAATTGATTTATTCAAGTATTAAAAAAAAAAATTAATTAAATTAGTAATTAAAAGTTTTTAAACAAATAAAAAAATTATCTAAATTATTAAATGAAAAACAAAAATTCATTTTGGAGAAAAAATAAATAAATTAATTTAGAATTGATTTATTTACTAAATGTGAATGTTCCATTTTTTCCATCACTAATAAAATAAAAAACAATACTTCATTTTTGAAGAAAAAATAAATAAATTCAATTTCATTTATCCACTGAATAAGTATTTAAAAAAAAAAATTCATTAAATTAGAAATTAAATAAATTATTAAATGCGAAGGATTAAATGGCACTCATGGATTATCTTATAAAAATAATTTGTTAGAATTTTTATTTTAAAGAATTGTGTAATTACTTTTTTATAATTTTCATTTTTCAAATTAGAATTTAAAGGAATTTGTTTTTTAAACGAATTTTCAGGTATTTTTGTTCGCCAATCATTAAAAATTGAAATTAACAAAAAAATCAAAATAAAGAAGTAGAATCGAAATAAAAGAAATTAAAATTAAATAGTTGAATCAAAATAAAACGAAATTTAAATTTGAAATCATCAAAAATTAAAATTTAGAGTAGAATTAAAATAAAAATAAAAAAAAAACAGAAGAAAAGAAAGTAACAAAAAATTAAAATCAAGATTAAACAATCAAAATACGAATCAAAATCAAAAATAGAAATTAATTTGTTAGTTTGTTTTTTTTTTAGTAATTAATTACAAATCAATTTGTTCTGTTAAATTCTAATTCGAAAAATTGAAAATTCCTCTACAAATAATTATTATATCAAAAATTGAAATTTAGAGCAGAATTAAAATAAAAATCAAAAAAACAGATGAAAAAAGTATAAAAAAATTAAAATCAAAATTAAACAATCAAAATACAAATCAAAATTAAAAATATAAATTAATTTGTTTTTTCAGTAATTAATTACAAATCAATTTGTTCTGTTAAATTCTAATTCGAAAAATTGAAAATTCTTCTACAAGTAATTATTAGGTACATATATCAAAAATTGAAATTTAGAGTAGAATTAAAATAAAAATCAAATAAACAGAAGAAAAAAGTATCAAAAAATTAAAATCAAGATTAAACAATCAAAATACGAATCAAAATCAAAAATAGAAATTAATTTGTTAGTTTGTTTTTTTTTTTAGTAATTAATTACAAATCAATTTGTTCTGTTAAATTCTAATTCGAAAAATTGAAAATTCCTCTACAAATAATTATTATATCAAAAATTGAAATTTAGAGCAGAATTAAAATATAAATCAAAAAAACAGATGAAAAAAGTATAAAAAAATTAAAATCAAAATTAAACAATCAAAATACGAATCAAAATTAAAAATATAAATTAATTTGTTTTTTTAGTAATTAATTACAAATCAATTTGTTCTGTTAAATTCTAATTCGAAAAATTGAAAATTCTTCTACAAGTAATTATTAGGTACATATATCAAAAATTGAAATTTAGAGTAGAATTAAAATAAAAATCAAATAAACAGAAGAAAAAAGTATCAAAAAATTAAAATCAAGATTAAACAATCAAAATACGAATCAAAATCAAAAATAGAAATTAATTTGTTAGTTTGTTTTCTTAGTAATTAATTGCAAATCAATTTGTTCTATTAAATTCCAATTCGAAAAATTGAAAATTCGTCTACAAATAATTATATTATAGAAAATAAAATTCTTTAAAATTCTTTCTTCTCTATATTAATTTTTCTCAATTAAAATTTTTAATAATTTTAATAAAATCCTTCACGAATTTAATTATCTGAAACTATTTTTCAAAAATTTTACGAAATTCAATAAATGTCAAAATTTAAAAAAAAATCAACAAATAAAGTACAATAAATTTCAATTCAAAATCATCGTAAAATTCAACTATTTTCAAAAATTTCAATTTAAAACCTTCTAAAATTTAATTATTTCTATAATTTTAAATTATAAAATAAATTACTATATATACTTATTAAAATTGTTTTCAAAATTAAAATAAATTTTAAAAGTCTGCTTACTAATTTTGAATTAATGCGAAAATTCGTTCACTAATTCAAATTAGTGGAAAATTTCACTAATTTTTAGTAAAGAATTACTATATTTAATTTAGTAATATTTTTTTTCTAAAATTTTAGTGAAAAATAATTAAATATTAATAGAAATTTTCACTAATTTTTATTAAATTATTATTTGATTCAGTAATTTTTTTTTTTTACTAAAGTTTTAATGCGAAATGACTAAATTATTTTCTTCTAAAATTTTAGTGAAAAATGATTAAAAATTATTAGAAATATTAACTAATTTTTAGTAAAATATTACTATTTAATTTATTAATATTTTTCTCGTTTTTTCTTTACTTTTTAGTAAAAAAAAAATGATTAAAAAATTAGTAAAAATTTAAATTAATTTAAATTAATTAATTCTCACTAATTTAAATTTAGAGAGTAACAAATACGAAAAAATTAGTATTATGATGAAAATTATAAACATACTTTTATTTAAAAGGCATAAAATGAAATAAATATTAATTGAAGAAAAAAAAAAATTCAAAATCCTAAAATGCAAAAAGAAAATTGAAAAATCGTGGAATTGAATAACCAAATTGATAGAAAATAATTATTTTCGCTTCGGGGAATTTTTCCTTTTTCCAATAATATAAAACGAAAGACGTGAATAATTATTAGAAGAGTTTTTTTTTTTCCTTGCATATTGTATTTACGTTTTATCTGCTTTTGAAATAGTAACCCCTGAACATTGTGAATAAGAATGAAGCACTAGTAGTAAATTTTATCGATTCCTATATGTATTACACATTACAGTGTTTATACCACATGAAATGTTTCAACCATCATTCTCCACCCAACCCCCCGGAAATTATATTCTGCCTGGATAAATCAATAAATATTCATAGTGCATGTAATTTTCATGGGGAGAAATTTCCCTGTAAATGACAATCGAACAAAGTGAATTTCTAATTTCAAACGCAAAAAATTGTTAATTTCATTATTTAATAAAAATAATTGACTAATTAATTAATTAATAATTAATTTAATTATTAAAAAATATTGAAAAATTTTTAAACGAAAAAAATTTACAAAAATAAATTTAAATATATAAAAATAAATTTTTTAAATAAAAAAAGGATAAAAAAGAAATTTGTAAAAAGTAAAATAATGATGAAAATTCTCTAATTGAAAATACTTGCACGTTTTCATCAATCGAAAATCATGAATTCTATCTCATTCCCCAAAATTTTTCCCAGACTTCATCCCCCTTTTTATACACTATATATGTGTGTTCTATTATTCAACCCTATTTTTCCAAATATATCCTCATATCAAACTGAACGTTCGGAAATCACCAAAAGTACATACTAAACAGCCCCTTTATAAGATGAATTGTCCACCAATATCGATAAAGAAGAAATAAAAAAAAAAATCTTGACGATAAATCACAATTTTTTTCCTATTATCAGAAAAGTTGACAGATACTACAAAAAGAAATATTTCAAGGGTTAAAAAATCTTTTTTTTTTTTTTTTTCTTTTTGCAAAGAAACGAAAAAAATTAGATCTTTTTCCTCCTCTTATCAAAAATTGCTCGAGAATATCTTTAAGATATTCTTTTCTTTTTCTCAATGCCGAAAGCTTCAAATTACAATCCATGCGTAAAAATAGCTTTCCCAAATTATAAATTCCCTTTGAGGATATTCCGCAAGCAGGTTTTGATTTTTTCAAGTCCGAAGGTTCCACTTTGCTTTCACGCTTAGTCCCCAACTTCCGTCGGCAGTGTGTAATTTTCCAAAGTAATTTAGCGAGACGAAAGAGAGAGAGAGAGAAAGAACTCTAGTGAGTCTACCGAAAATGGGGGCCTTATATACAGATGGCGAGAGAAATAATGCCGCCACGGTTCTCTTATTAAAAGAACAACAATTCCGCAAGCTGACATATCGGTGAGTGAGCACAATTTTCTGACCAAAAACCCGAACTACCGTTTTTAAAAAAGAATTCTTTATATAACTTTCGCAATCATCTGGATTTGTCTATATATGAGGATCACTTCTCTTATTTAAAAAAAAAAAAAACAAAAAAAAATCAAAAAATAACTTTTATTCAGACTTGCATATCAATCAAGAGCGATATTTATCTGGCACATTTACATATTGTTGATCATGATGAAAAAAAACCGCTCATTTTTTTTTTTTTTTTTTTTTTGAAAGCCAAAAAAAACTACAAGAACACAATTGAAAATTATTTCCAATTTTTTTCGAGAAATTAGGAGTTTTTGGAAATTTTATTTTCAATTCAAAAAAAAAAAAAAAAAATTGTGGAAATCATTCAAAAAACGAAAACGTAAAATGAAGAATTTAATTTGAAATTCAAATTTGTATTTTCAAATTTTTGTTTTCACTTTTTTTTTTTTGGTGGAAGAAAAATGCGAATCGTGGATATAGAGAAAAACGAAGCCAGATTAAAAAAAACATTAGTTTTTATAAAAAAAAAATTTTGTTTTGAATTTAATAGAACTTTTCGATTCCATGAGCAATTGAATTAAAAATTACAGTAAAAACTAACAAATTGATAAAATAATTTCCGAATAAAAAAATTTACAATATAAAAAATTTTACAGTAAAAAAAGAAACTAAGGAATTGATAAAACTATTTCCGAATAAAAAATTTACAATAAAAAGTTCAATAATAAAAAAAAAATACAATAGATAAAAAAAAATTCCGAACAATACATTCAAAATAAAAAATTCCCCAATTAAAAAACAACTCCGTTAATACAAAAATTTACTGAATAAAAAAAAAATTGATGCGAATTTAAAAAAATTTGACAATAAAATATTTTTACCTAATTAATAAAACTATTTTCGAATAAAAAAATCTACAATAAATAAATTTACAGTAAAAAAAAACTAACGAATTGATAAAACTATTTCCTAATTAAAAAAAAATTAACAATAAAAAAACTATCTAACTGATAAAATTCCAAACAAAAAAAAATCAAAAATAACAAAAAATTGATAATAAAAAAAAACAAGCTAATTGATAAAACAATTTCTGAATAAAAAAGTGTACAAAAAAAATTGACAGTAAAAAAATACCCAACTAATAAAACAATTTCCGAATAAAAAATTTACAATAAAAAGTTCAATAATACAAAACAAAAAATACAATAGATAAAAATAATTCCGAACAATAAATTCAAAATAAAAAATTTCATAATTAAAATACAACTGCGTTAATACAAAAAGTTACTAAATAAAAATAATAATTTGATACGAATTTAAAAAAATTGCAATAAAAAAAAAAATTTGACAATAAAATATTTTTACCTAATTAATAAAACTATTTTCGAATACAAAAATCTACAATAAATAAATTTACAGTAAAAAAGAAACTAACGAATTCATAAAACTATTTCCTAATTAAAAAAAAATTAACAATAAAAAAAACTATGCAACTGATAAAATTCCAAATAAAAAAATCAAAAATAACAAAAAATTGATAAAAAAAAAAACAAACGAATTGATAAAACAATTACTGAATAAAAAAGTGTACAAAAAAAATTAACATTGAAAAAATACTCAACTAATAAAGCAATTTCCGAATAAAAAATTGACAGTAATAAATTCAATAACACAAAAGAATATACAATTAGTAGAAAAAAAATATAAATAAAATAAAAATTATCCCATAAAAAAAAATCCGTAAATATAATAATTAATAAATTCAATTAATTTAAATTAGCAAAGAAAAGAAATAAAAAAATATAAAACTTACATTATACAATTAAAAAAAATGAGAAAACAATAATTCATAAAAACAAATTCTATTTTGTGTAAATTAAATAGGAAAAAAAGAAACTCTTGGACATAATGTATTTTTTTTTTTTATCTGATTCTCTATCCAATTCCACTTTAAGAGAGTTGTTCTCGGGTTTCGGAAGCGGAAGACCCGGACCTGAAACACCATTAGTTTCTCTCCCTAAAATCTCGAGTTGATTTTGGAGTTCTATACATTACATTAGAGATACCACGCACAGTAAATCGCATGTCACGTTCAGACATACCATATATATTATATTCTCCACGATTGAGAGCACAGAGGGAAATGACATTTCCAGATATTGGTTATATATAGCGCAGCTTATTTGATCCATTTTCAGAAGAAAAAAAAAAGCTGCGCGGATAATCAACAATTTTCTCACGGACAAAAAGGAATTAAAAACGAAGAAGAAGATTCATAAAAGACCATGCCCTCAGGGCGATAGAGCGTGTATAGGATATTTCAAAGCATAAATGCGAGCAAAATGTCTATGAAGAGACGTCTTTTTTTTCAAAGAAGAAGAAAAATAAAAAAAAAGGGGGAGTCCCTAATCTACTCGATAAATAGACTCGAGAGAAAATTCAGTCTATCATTGAAAGAACTTGAAAGAGATGGGTCAAATCTAAATTGAAATTGAAAATACCAGTTAATTGTACGATTTAGCTAAATTAAAAACTTCATATTCTATAATATTAATTATAATTAATTTTAGAATTAAAATATATATTTATTTATATTAATTAAGATTGTAGTTATTTATCCTTTTATGGTTCTTTATGAACTGCGATGACTTTTAAATAATTAAATCAACAATTTAAAATTGATTCGTATAAAAAAGTAACATTTAATCTAAAAAAAAAAAAATTCCAAATAGAATTTCGGTAAAAGTTATTAGTTACATGAGAATAAAAACAAATTACTAATAATTTTTTATATCAGGCTAAAACTTTAAAAAAAAACTAAGACTTTAGTAAAGAAAAAAGACGAAAAAAATATTTCTAAATCAAATAGTAATAATTTACTAAAAATTAGTAAAAATTTCTATTAATTTTTAATCACTTTTCACTAAAATTTTATAGTAAAGAAAAATATTAACTAAATTAAATATACAAATTTACTAAAAAATTAGTGAAAATTTCTACTAATTTTGAATTAGTGAACGAACTTTCGTTAATTCAAATTAAGAAAACAGACATAAAATTTATTTTAATTTTGAAAACAATTTTAATAAAATATTAATAATTTATTTTATTGAAAAATTCTTCAAAATTCTAAAAATTAATTTTAAAAATCTAACAAATTATTAAAATTTTTAATTTAAATTAATAAAATTTTGTATTTTTACTACTTATTTTATTAATAGCAGAGACTTCGGATCGACTTTAAAGCACAAAAAATCGTTTTAGTCGATTTACATTTTAAAAAAATCGATTTTTTTTTTATTTTAATTAAATTTAATTACTGTTAATAAATATTTTACTTTAAATAACTAATGTTATTGTTATTATAAAAATTTTGCCAAATAAATACAAAATTCTTCCAATTTAAAAAATCAATTTAATAGAAATTCGATTAAATAATAAAAATCTTCCAAATAAAAATCGCTTTTCCAAAGTATAAATTAAAAAATTAATTGAAAATTAAAAAATAATTTTATTTAAACAAAATTTTCACTTAGTAGAATTTTTAATTTAATAAATTTTTGTTTAACGAAATTTTTTTTTTTGAAAATAATTAATTCTGATAATAATTGCCTTGGAATTTATCCAAGAAATTTTATTTAAATAATATTTCAAAAATTTCAAATCTAATTTATGCAAAATTATTTTTGAGTTCAGAATTTTGTGCAAATTTTAAAATTGAAATGATTAAAAAGCAAAATTAAATTTTAATTTAATTAATTTTAAACGTTCAAAATTCTTATAGAAATGAATTTCAAAAGTTTTTAAATTGAAAATACTAAAAATATAATTAGAATAAGTCGAAAAAAGTTATATAATCTGAGGCCTGCTTTATTAATAAAATAAATTATTGTTTTTGTGAAAAAATAATTGAATTTGAAAAAATGAAAATTTTATAACTTACGCGAGACTTGATTGATAAATAAAATAGACGTCACAAGAGAATGAGAAATAGTGCGATTGTTTGACGAATGAAGTCATGTTTGTTTTTCTCAAAATATATATAAGAAATTTCATTCATATAGCCTGGGGTTCACCTCAATTTCAATCGGCGGCTGAAGTAAAGGTTCTTCTTCGTATTTTTACGATTCACAATCAAAAATAAAATAACCTTTTTCCTTCATGGGGATGATTTCGCAATTTTCAAATTCTCTCAATTCTCAAAAAAATGATTGCGGAAAATTGCCGTTTTGAAAACACGATAATAGGATTTACGACTGCGTGGGACCATCTGTAATCCAACAATTCCAACATCTGGCAACTCGTACCAACGCTCTCTCTTTTTCTCTCTCTCTCTCTGTTTTGATACGAAACCTCCATTTGATTCTCCGCGGGCTGAAAACAAAGAGAACTTTCTGTATACATATATATATATATATATATATATATATATATATATATATATATAAAAATACAAAAATGTGCGTGTGTATTTATACACACGAAAACTAAAATCGTTGGCGACTTTTTTGTTTTCGGTGGACTGTACCGGCATGCTATTATCTAGCGGTGTTTTTCAGAAGAAAACATTGGCGTCGCATCTCCGCTTCGCCATATAGGCCGTGAAACGAGAGGATGTTCGAGCAAAGTGCACCTTTGGTGAGTTCCGTCACAGACGGCCTTTTGCCTCAAAGGAAGAAACGCCAAGCGTTTTAAACGGACTGCCTTTCTCTCTCTTTCTCTCTCTCTCTCTTCATGACAGCCACCAGTCGGAAAAATATCCTTTGCGGAACTCTCCCCCTTTTCAAACCAAATCGACCATCAGCTAAAAGGATTCATCTCTCTCTCTCTCTCTCTTTCTCTCTTCTTTTTTTTTTCTCTGAAACAAGATGATGCACTCAAAAACTACTCTAAAGCGATTCACTTTTATCTTTTTCTCTTTCTCTGTGTGTGAAAAATAGATTTGAATAAAATGGAAGCGCGTAGAAACAATAAGAGAATTAAAAGACAGGTTTTTATTATAAAGAGCGGACAAAATGGAAACAATAAAAAAAAGGGAGCAAAAAAAGAACAATGCAAAAAAATGAAAAAAAGAGAGGAAAAATTGTAAAAAGCAGAAAAAAAAGAGAAAAAAAAGTGACAAAAAAACGATAAAAGACAATAAAAAAAATTAAAATATGTGTTAAAAAAAACAAACGAAATAAAAAAAAAAAGACAAAAGTATGAGAAACGAAAATAGTAAAATTAGACTCGATTTAAAAATCGAAGTTAAATTAAAAATTAAAAAGGAAATTAAATTGCAGCATTAAATTAAAAAAACAAAAATAGAATTTTAGAATTAAAATAATAAATAAAAAGTACCGGAGAAATATAATAAAATGCACAAGAATTGAAGCGCGACAGGTGCAAAATACATAAAAGCAATAAAAAAAAAAAAAAAGACAAACAGAGAAAAAGAAGACAAGAAAATGAAGATAAAAATACAAAAATTAAACAAACGATTAAAAAAACACAAAACAACAAATATTCAGCAAAAAAATAATATAAAAATAACTAAAAAAATAAAATAGGAAAATAAAAAAAAAATTACAAATACAAAAATAACTACAAAGTAAAATAAGAAAATATAAATAAATAAAAATAAAATACGAAAATAAACAAAAAAATTAAATACAAAAATAATTAAATAAAATAAATTACAAAAATAACTAAACAAAATAAATTACAAAAATAACTAAACAAAATAAATTACAAAAATAACTAAACAAAATAATTTACATAATTAAAAATAAAATACCAAAAAAATTCAATACCAAAATAATTAAAAAATAAACAAAAATAATTTACAGAAAAATACAAAAAAAAAAAAAAATTGTATAAAACAAAATTGTACAAGAACCATAATTAAAAAATAATAGCCCCGTAAAATGCAAGAAACAATAAAAATGCCAAAAACAATAAAAGAACATAAGAAGCGATAAGAGCGCACAAAATGCAATAAGAACACTAAAAAAAAATAGAAGGCAAAAAAAAAAATGAAAAAATTAAATCAAATAAGGCAAAAAAGTATATGCGAGAGAAACAAAAATAAGAAAAAAAAAAAAAAAGAAAACGAAAAGAGTGAGTAATAAAACGAAAATGAAGATAAAGTATGCCTTAAACAAAATTCAAGTTCTATTGACATTTATTTTCCAAGTTCCATTTCGTTCTTTATCTTATACCGCGCGCGAGATAAAAGTCTCAAGTAGATTTTTATGAACCCTTTTAACTTTCTTGATTTATATTCAAAAAGAAACTCTAAAAAAAAAAAAGAAAGAGAGACGCGCGCTCACTTATTGTTTTCGACATTCTTAATTTTCACGATTTTCAGTTTTTTTTTTTTTTCAAAAGCATTCAAAAGAAGCGAAGAAAAATTATCATAAACACGTCATCTTCCTCTTTCTTCTCTCCGATTAAAATCTAGAAAAAAATTTTAAAATGTTTCTCAGGTAATTTTTTTTTTTTTTTTCGCCGAATTAAAAAGGAATCAAAGAACTCTTTCTATGAAAAATCTCCCTATCCTCAGAATATTATCATCATCGAAATTATATAAATTTACATATTTGTGGAAAATTTTATCCAAATTCTTAAAAAAAATTTAGAAGCACAAAAAATGATTTGCTTTTTTTGAAAATTAAAATTTTCAAATGGAAATGGGATTTTAAAGAGAAAATTTTCTGTATTTTTTTTTTTAAATAGCGCTTAAAATCAGGTGTACATTATAAAAAAGAGATCTCGTAATCAAGTACAGGAAAAAAAAACCTAACAAAACAATTTGTTCTACTCTTGTTTTCTCATGTAAAATAACTTCTTGCCAGCACATCGAATAAATCTTCTTCTACGAATGATTGAATATCCAGCGAGTGAGGGAAGTAGAATGAACCCTTCAAGGCTCAACATCAATTTGAAAAGTCTCTCGAAGGTATATATATATAAAGGAGGAGAAAAAAAAATTACCTACAGAGACGACCTATCGAACCTTAAAAAAAAAATAAAGTCGCGAAAGAACACAAAACAGTTATAGAAACCGGTATACCAAAGTTTAAGAACTTGATTTTCATTTTACCGAATTCAGAATAATTTAACCGAATTTTTAATTAATGTAATTTCTATTTAACAAAATTTTCATTTAACTTAATTTTCACAATTTAAAGAATTTTTATTTAACTTATCATATTTTAAAGAATTTTTATTTATTATAATTTTCATTTTTAAAAGAACTTATATTATACATAAAACATTTATTTAATCAAATTTTCATTAAAAACAACTTTTGTTCAACAGAAATTCTATTCTAATTAAATTTTCTCAGACAGAATTTTTATAAATTTCAACGAATTTTCAATGGGCAAAATTTTTATTTCGATAAATTTTTATTAAATAAAATTTTAACTTTTGTAGAATTTTTGTATTTTAATAAATTATCGTTTAACAAAATATCTATACTTATTTAGATTTTTAAATAGCAGAATTTTTCATTTCACTAAATCTTAATTTAACCGAATTTTCATACTAATTAATAAATATAAATTTTTCTGTAAAAAAATTCGACTGAAATAAAAATTCTACCAAATTAAAATTAATAAAAAATTCATCTAATTCTATGTAATAGAATTTAGCTAAATAAAAATTCTGCCAAATGAATAGAAATTCTCTCAAATTAAAAAATTGAAATTAAAAAATTAATAAAAATTCCATTAAATAAAAATCTGGTAAATAAAAAATTCAGTTGTTTAAAAAATTATATTCTATAAAAATATATAATGAAGAAAATTTATTTGGAATAAATTTTCAAAATTTTAATTAAGTAGAACAAATTTTTGAAAAAAAATTCTTCAATTTACATTTTTAAAATTTTTTGAAGTTTAATTTAAGCAATTTAAATTCATACTTTTTAGTTTTAATGGTCAAAAAATTTTAGGACAATAATTAAGTTTTACAGATTTTTAAATTAAATTCGACTAAATAAAATTTTTACCTTAATAGAAATTGTTTCAATTTAAAAAATCGATTTAACAGAAATTTGATTAAATAAAAAAAAATCTTGCAAATAAAAATCGGCGTTCGAAAGTAAAAATTAAATTTAATAAAAAATTCGATTAAATTGAAAGAATGTAAAATTTTGCTAATTTATTCGAATTTAAAATTTTGGCATTTTTAAATTAAATTTTATTATTTTTAATAATTGAATTGCAGAAGATTTGAAATTTGAAATAAATTTTCTGTAAATTAAAAACTGCTGTATAGTTATTTTTTTTTTAATTTCTGACAATTCAATTTTAGAGTTTTTGTTTGAAACTTTTTTAAATGAATTTTTAAAGAAATATTAAAATTATGAAAAATAATTGAATATTTGAAGGGTTAATTGAAAAGGAAAAATATTTTTCAGAAAGTTTTTAATGGAAAATTATAGAAATAATTAAATTTTAGGTTTTAAATTGAAATTTTTGAAAATAGTTGAATTTTAAGTGATTTTGAATTGCAATTTTTGGTACTTTATTTGATGATTTTTTTTTGTTTAATTTTGACAATTATTAAACTTCAAAACATTTTTAATTGAAAAATAGTTGAATAATTAAATATCAAAAGTTTTTAAATTGAAATTTTTTTCTAAAATTGAAATGCTGAAGATTTTCTTTACAAAATCACAGACAATAATTGAATATTAAAACGATTTTTAGTGAAATAATTGAAAAATATTATTAAAATTCTTGTAAATAATTAATTTAGAAGATAATTTTAATTAAAAATTTGTTAAATAATTAAAATAAAGAGGAAATTAAAAAAAATTATGATTATATTATTAAAATTTAAAAATTTTGTTAAAAAAAAAACTAATAAAAAAGTCGAAAAAGTCGCATTCTATTAAAATAGGTCGAAAAAAAAGTTCGAAAAAGTCGTATAATCCTATGCCTGCTTTTACTTGTGCTGAATATACTGTCTTTTTAAAAAAACTTCCAAAATAGAAAAAAAATTTTCTCTGAGAGCAAATAATAAATTTTCCCTCTTTTTTTTGAGAGAGAGAGAGAAAGAAGAATTATACAATTGAAGACCAATATACAAGTGAGAGAAGTAGAATGAACCTTGTTTTCGCCGTGGTCTTCGCAATTCTGATTACGCCACTGGTCGCCTCTTCCCTGATGCACACAGCAAGGCTAGTTGTTTCTTTTCTTTATTCCTTTGTCGGAAAGTCGGCTGATAAAAGGAAAAAGACAGCTGCGGCCGCCGGGGGAAGCGAGGTGGGGGCCCCAAGAGAGTGAGAGAAAGCAAGAATCAAGAAAGAGAGATAGAGAGAGAGAGAGAGAGCGCAAGAAGAATAAAACGCAAGGCTTAAAAAAAACTTGGTTTGTACCAGAGTTAACTCCGATATGTCGCTGACAGAACTCAAAAAATCGGACACTGACTATTAATAATCTTCACGCACCCACACACCTTGAACAAATCCAATTTGTCCAGTTCCCGGCTCTTTTAATCCCACTATGTGCGAGTTTGTATCTGTGTCTGTCTCTCTAAGGAGTCGGGAATGTTGATTTCTTCACGCTTTCATTCGAATCAACAACCTGGAATTGGGATTTCAACCTGAAACTGGAATCAAAAAATAACATCAGTTACAAAAAAAAAAAAAATAATAATAATAAATAAAAAAAACATCATAGCTAAAATTAAAATCAATTTTGAATAAATAATAAATTATTCAATAAAAATTTAGTCAATTATTTTCATTCTCGAATTTATAGAAATTTCTCTGTTTATGTAAAAAGTTTAGAATTCCCAAAAAAAAAAAAAAAAAAAGAGGAAATATACCAATAACATGGAATTAGATTTTGAACCGCGATGAGCCTAGAAACTGGAATCATAAAAAGAGAGCTGTTGAAGAGAAGGGGGGACTCTGCGAGGGATATGATCGAAGAATCAACTAGCGTGCTTCAAAAACAAGTAATCATGGATGAAGAGTGAAGAATCAAGAACCATGTAATCAAGGATCGTGCTCTTTTGTCGAGAGGAGAGTTTGAAAACAGAAATTACCAATATAAAGAATAGGAATCATGAATTCACTGAAGAATATATATAACTTCTCTACTCGATTCAAAAAAAAAAAATTAACAATTTATTAATCATTTAAATATTTTCAAAATAAGGAACTAATTACAAAAAATTTTTGTAAAAAAAAACTCCAGTTTTTTTTTGTTACGAATTTCAAAACAAAAAATATCAAATGAAAACCAGAGTCAAATAAATATTTGTTTCGATTTCATTTTAATTTAACAAAAATTAAATAAAAATTTTATATGAGCTAAATAAAATTTTATTTAATGCAAATAAAATTTATTCGAACCAAATAAAATTTATATTTGAAATTTTTTATTTTAGGAAAATATATTTTATTTCTCAGAAATAAACGTAAAATATTTCTCGGGGTAAAAAAAATCAAAGAAGAAAAGTGGATAAATATCTAAACTATATATTAAAAAAAGAGAATATTGTCGGATAAGGAAAATAATAATGTATAAGTAAAAATTAAAAAAAAAAAAACTAAAGCAAGAATGCGTAACGAGTTATTGAATAAATACAACCCGGAAGTATCAAGAAACTATCAATGAATAAAACGAGAAATATTTATACAGTTAAAAGAATCTCTAAATAAAACTGATTATTAAATTATAGTATTCTTTGCGAGAGAGGAAAAAGAATAATTATATATTAATTTTTTTTTTCTCCTATTTTTTCACAAAAAGGAAATAGCGAGCGCACATTTAACGAAATTGTTGAAAATTTTTCTAAAATTAGAATCCCATTAAAAGTCACTAAAAAAAAATTTCATTATTTTTCACTTCACTTTTTAAAAATAACTTGAAAAGTAAATAAAATTAAATCAAAATAGAACATCGAGTTATTAACCACTTAAAAAAATTATCAAACAGTTGCATCGTGAGAATTGGTAAACATTTTTCTAAAAGCTCAACGAGGATTTAGGAATTCGAAAATTAGAAACTATTTTTATAATTTTTTGAAAATAAAATAATCTAAAAATTTCAAAACATTCTAAAACAAAAATTGGAAAAAAATTTTTATTTATAAATTCGGATTATCGGAATGAAATATATTTTTTTTAAAATACTGAAATTTTGGAAAATTTCAAAACGTTTCAAAACAAAAATTGGAAAAAAATTTTTTATTTATAAATTTAGATTAGTAGAATGAGAAATATATTTTCAAAAATAAAAATTTTCGTTTGTGATAAATTCGATGAAATGAAAATTAAGTTTAAATAAAACTTCGGTTAAATTAAAAAAAAAAAATTAAACACGAGTAAAATTAAAAATTAAAATAGAAAAAGTAAAATTTGGGCAAATTAAAATTCAATCTAATGAAAATTCGATTAAATTAAATTCTATTATAGGAAAATTTGATTAAATTAAATTATATTGAAGGAAAATTGGATTAAAATTAAATTCTATTGAAGAAAAATTTAATTTAATAATTAAAACTTCAGTTAAATTTCAGTCCTGATAAATTGAAATTCAGATCAAATTAAAATTCTGATAAATTAAAATCCTAATTAATTAAAATTCAATAAAATTTAAACTCCTATAGAATTAAAATTCTAAATTAAAATCCTATATAGAATAAAATTCCCTATTGTGAATAATTTGAAAATTCGTTAAAATTCGAAAATAAAAGAAAAATCGAAGAAATTCGATTAAATAATCCCTCTTTTTAATAAAAATTCGCCTATTAATTCAACTTTATAAAATTCACAAAAATTTCACTAAATGAAAACTCATAAAATTTGAATTTTAAACTCATAGAAGTTTTAGAAAATTTTCCGTCGAAATAATATTTAAATTATTTCAATATATATATATATATTGTTAAATAAATAAATACGAACAAAAATTCAAATTTCCCTAATTTTTTTAAGACAAACGAAAAAGGAATTTTTTTTCCATAAAGAAAAAAAATGCGAAATTTTTTCACAGTATAGAAAATGAAGATTCTGCTATGTTGTGCAAAGAACGTTTATGCTCCTCTCTTGGACTCTCGTAAACCGCTATATAACGTCTCTCGTAACATTCAAACTATAGTTGCCTACTATAGTCTCTATTTATTACGTCCAGATCCCTATTACGGGACAGAGTCTCCTTCGCCAAAGTGGAACCGATGCGACCGATAAGAGGACATTTCGTTTGGGTCGCATATTTCGTCTCGTTTTTCTAAAAAGCATATATATATATATATATATACAAGATCAAAGAGTTCTGCGAAGCATTACATACTGTATACGCATTCGAAAGGCGCGGAGAAGAACAACGTCTTTCTCTTTTATTTTATTTTTTTTTTGAAATCAACAAAACTAGAAACTAGATTCTATCATTTATATCCGACTTCTTTATAGATCTCATTAAAAACTAAATAGTTGACAATCGCTAAAATAAATGGGGTTCAAAGTTGAGACCTCAAAGAGAGAAAAAAAAACATTCGCATTTTATTTCATTAAAAGTAGGATAGATATATATATATACATATATATATATAGAAAGAGGATCTTTATGAACAAAAAAAAAGAAATGAAAATAAACAAGCAAAAAAAGAAGAAAAAAAAACACCTTGCACTGAATACATTAAACCAGAACCAAACGTGGAACAGAAAAACCGGAATCGAAACTGGCACTCGAGTGAAAATATGATTCTTGCAACCAGGGTCGAAACGTAACCCAGAATCAAGAGCAACTAAAAAAAAATCCATTCGATTAAAATTGAATTCCATTTAGATTATTGAAAATCGTTTCTCCATATAATAAAAAGGCAAAAGATGAAAAATAAAATTTAAATATACTGAATTAAAATTACGATTCAAGGGAAATAATAATGTACTGGCAATTATAATTTCAATATTAAATTTACTATTATAAATATTAAATAGTAAATAAAATTCTATATTTTGTTAATTTTCAATTAAGCAAATTTTTTGGTAAAAGAAAAATATAAACCATCGAAATAAAAGAAAAAGATCAAAAATAAAGGTAGAGGAAAAAATTTATATAGAAATATGTAATTAAAATATAAAAGAAAAAAGTGAATTAAAATATTAAATTCTCGAAAATTGAAATAAAATTATTGATTTTTTTTCAATTAAGTAATTTTGATGAGAGAAAAATTCAAAATTCCAGCGAAATAACCAAAAAGAAATGTAGAAAAATATTCCTCTGGAAATATTTCAAATGAAAATAGCAAAACTGAATAAGAATATTAAATTCTCGAAAATACTTTGAAATTAAATCCTAAATTTCGATTTGTTTCTCAAATTATCACCAATTTTGGCAACAAAAAGAAAAAAAAATTCCAACGAATTAAAAAAACCAAAAAGGAAAAAGTAGAATAAAATTCCTCTGGAAATATTTCAAATGAAAATAGCAAAACTGAATAAGAATATTAAATTCTCGAAAATACTTTGAAATTAAATCCTAAATTTCGATTTGTTTTTCAATTATCACCAATTTTGGCAAAAAAAAAAACAAAATTCCAACGAATTAAAAAAACCAAAAAGGAAAAAGTAGAATAAAATTCCTTTGGAAATATTTCAAATTAAAATAGAAAAAGTGAGTAAGAATTTATTAAATTCTCAATAATACTGTTAAATAAAATCGAAAAATTTCGATTTATTTATAAAAAAAAACCAATTTTGGTAAAAGAAAAATACAAAATATCAACGAAATAAAAGAAAAGTAGTAAAGAAAAATTCCTGTGAAAATTGAAAAACTGAGAATATTAAATTCTCAATAAAATTCTAAAACAAATTCCGAAAATGTCGATTTTTTTATCAATTATATTACCAAATTTGTAGTAAAACTAAAATACAAAATACCAACGAATTAAAAAAAAACCAATAAAGAAAAGTACGAAAAAATTTCTGTGAAAATAAAAAAGAATATATTAAATTCCCACTAAAATTGGATTTTAAAATCCAAAATATTTAACAGATTACTATCAATTTTTTTGGCAAAACTACAAAATTCCAACGAAGTAAAAGAAATGATGAAAAAAAAGAAAACTAGTCAAAAATTCCTACAAATTCCAAATGAAAATAGAAAAAAAAGCGAGTGATTGAAAAACTGAGAATATTAAATTCTCAATAAAATTCTAAAACAAATTCCAAAAATTTCAAATTTGTAGTAAAACTAAAATACAAAATAACAACGAATTAAAAAAAAAACCAATAAAGTACGAAAAAATTTCTGTGAAAATAAAAAAGAATATATTAAATTCCCACTAAAATTGGATTTTTAAATCCAAAATATTTAACAGATTACCATCAATTTTTTTGGCAAAACTACAAAATTCCAACGAAGTAAAAGAAATGATGAAAAAAAAGAAAACTAGTCAAAAATTCCTACAAATTCCAAATGAAAATAGAAAAAAAAAGCGAGTGATTGAAGAAAAATTCCATTGGAAATTCTATGAAATTTGCCTACATATATATACATGTATACAATTCCCCCGGCATAGAGGGTAAAAGACCCTATGGAAATTTTTCCGTCAACTTAACTTTCCAGGGATAGGAGTTAATCCGATTTTCGGAGATG